ACAGCTTTTGACAAATTCCTGCCAGAGGTCACAGAGAAATGAGTAATTGTTTATTTACAGCTTAAATGTTTGACCCATTATTCACCATCTGCATAGCAAAACCCCTGAATCTCAGTTGGGTTTTAACAAGAACCTGCAGTGCAGGTTGCACTCATAACCAACAGACTGATGGTGTAGGCAAACACCTGTATTGAGATGAGACAATATAGAAATATTGGAGTGACCAAGAGCACTGGGCCTGGTGCATAAAGGTGTGGGTTCAAGTCCTACTTAGAAGATGCACAAACCTGAGAAAGTTATAGAGACCTCTCTGTGCCTCAGTTCCCTGTTCTGTGGTATTGAAATGTTAATATGGCCTATGTTATGTTATAAGGCTAAAAATGGTGAAATGGAGGTAAAACCTTTAGAAGACTGGTAATCTATAAGTGCCTTAAAGTGTTCGATCATTATATGTCTAGAAGAATACACCAGAACCTTGGTAGTGGTTGAATACAGAGAAGAAATGTGGATGGCTCCAGGGGAGTGGAGGATGGAATTTTCTTCTTTCTTTCCATGGATATGATGCTTTACAGCTCACGGAGAATATCTGTTATTTCTTGTGATGCTTACACTAGCCAGGAGGAATGGGCAAAGGAAGGGCTACAACCCATATTTGAGAGTTCAGGGAAGTGAAATGGAGAGACTTGAAGTGGTCTGCCTAGAATCATAGCACTGATGAGTGATGGATCTGGCACAAGAAGGTAATTGGTTTTCTGCGGACTGAGGTCTCTGAAGACCTGAGACCTTGAAATAATACCCTGAAACCTGAAAGCTCTTTTCATTGCTTTCTCAGCTGCTCTTACCCCAAAGTTTCTTCAGGAAGGCTGATGCCTTGGAAGAGGTGGCTAAGTCAAAAGAAGAGCTGAAGCAATAATAAAAAAAGATTCCTTCAACCTCTAGGTTTTAATCCCTGATCTCACCTTGCAATATAAATCAGTTGACCATCCTAAGGGACCATGGTCTGCTTGGCCCTGTATTAGTCCATCCTTGCATTGATATAAAGAAATACTTGAGACTGGGTAATTCATAAAGAAAAGAGGTTTAATTGGTTCATGGTTCTGCAGGCTATAGAGGAAGCATAGTGGCATGTGCTTCTTGGGAGATTTCTAGAATCTTCCAATCATGGTGGGATGCGAAGGGGAAGTAGGCATCCTACATGGCAGGAGGAGAAGCAAGAGAGAGTGAGAGCAAGATGCCCCACACGTTTATGCAACCGGATCTCATGAGAACTCACTTTTGCAAGGACAGCACCAAGGGGATGGTGCTAAACCATTCATGAGAAAACTACCCCCATGAGCCAATCACTTCGCACCAGGCCCCAGCTCCAATACTGGGGATGACAATTCAACATGAGATTTGGGAAGGGACACATATCCAAACTATATTATTCCACCCCTTGCCACTCCCAAATCTCATGTCCTTCTCACATTTCAGAATACAGTTATGCCTTCCCAACAGTCTCCCAAAGTCTTAGCCCATTCCAGCATTATCTCAAAAGTCCGAAGTCCAAAGTCTCATCTGAGACAAGGTAAATTTCTTCCACCTGTAAAATAAAAAACAAGTTTAGAGTTACTTCCAAAATACAATGGGAGTACAAGCATTTGGTAACAAACCCAATTCCAAAAGGGATAAATAGGCACAAAGAAAGGGGTTACAGGCTCCATGCATATTCAAAACCCAGCAATGCAATCATTAAATCTTAAAGCTCCATAATAATCTCCTTTGACTCCATGTCCTACATCCAGGGCATTGGTGCAAGCAGTGGGCTCCCAAAGTGTTGGTCAGCTCTGCCTCTGTGGCTTTGCAAGGTTCAGCTCCCAAAGCTCACGGACTGGAGTTTAGTGCTTGCAGTTTTTTCCATGTGCAGAGTGCAAACTGCCAATAGATCTACCATTCTGGGGTCTGGAGGATGGTGGCTCCACTAGCAAATGCCCCAGTATGGACTCTGTGTGGGAGCTCCAACCCCACATTTTTCCTCTACACCACTCTAGTAGAGGGTCTCTGTGAGGGCTCCACCCATGCAGCAGGCTTCTGCCTGGACACGCAAGCTTTTCCATACATCCTCTGAAATCTAGGTGGATGGTGCCACGCCCTAATTCACTCTTGCATTCTGTATGCCAGCAGACAACACCATGTGGAAGTCACCAAGGCTTACGACTTACACTTGTCAGAGCAGCAGCCACAGCTACACATGGGACCCTTTAAGCCACAGCTGGATATGGAGTTGCCAAGAGGCAGGGAGCAGTGTCCTGAGGATGTGCAGGGCAGTGCAGACCTGGGCTTGGCCTTCAAAACCATTCTTCCCTGGGCCTCTGATCCTGTGTTTGGATGGGCTGCCTCTGAGATCTCTAAAATGCCTTGAAGCCTTTTTATTGTCTGGGATGTCAGCACTTGCCTCCTTTTTAGTTATACAAATTTCTCTAGCATGTGGTTACTCAGCAGCCCACTTGAATTCTTCTGAACATAGGCCTTTTTTTTTTTTTTTTTTTTTCCTACCAGATCGCCAGGCTGCAGGATGCAAATTTTCCCAACTTTTATGTTCTGGTTACCTTTTAAATAGAAGTTCCAACTTATTTCTTTGCTTCCACATCCAAGCATAGTCTGTTAGAAGCAGTCACACCAGTTTGTTTTTTTTTTTGTTTTTTTTTTGTTTTTTTTTTGTTTTGAGACAAGGTCTCACTCTGTCACCCAGGCTGAAGTGCCATGGCATGATCCTGGCTCACTGCACCCTCAACTCCCCAGGCTTAGGTAATTGTCCCAACTCAGCCTCCTGAGTAGCTGGGACTACATGCCACCACACCAGCTATTTTTTTATATTTTTAGAGATGGGATTTTGTCATGTTTCCCAGGCTGGTCTTGAACTTCTGGGGTCAAGTGATCTGCCTGCCTTGGCCTCTCAAAGTGCTAGGATTACTGGTGTGAGCCACCATGCCTGGCCCATGCCACTTCTTGAACACTTTGCTGCTTAGAAATTTTTTTTTTTTGCCAGATACTCTACGATGTCACTCTTCAAGTTCAAACTTCCATAGGTCCCTAGGACATGGATGCAATCCAGCCAAGCTCTTTGCTAAGGCATAACATGTGTGACTTTTGCTCTAGTTTCCAATAAGTTCCTCATTTCCATCTGAGAACTCATCAGCCTGGACTTCACTTTCCATATCTCTATCAGCATTTTGGTCAGAATCATTTAACCAGTTTATAAGAAGTTCTCAACTTTCCCTCATCTTCCTGTCTTCTTCCAGGTTCTCCAGACTCTTTCAACCTCTGCCCATTACCCAGTTCCAAAGCTGCTTCCACATTTTCAGGTACCTTTATAGTAACACCCCACTCCTTGGTACCAGTTTTCTGTGTTAGGTCATTCTCACATTGCTATAAAGAAATTCCTGGCCAGGTGCAGTGGCTCACACCTGTAATCCCAGCACTTTGGGAGGCCGTGGTGGGCAGATCATGAGGTCAAAAATTCAAGACCAGCCTGACAAACATGGTGAAACCCTGTCTCTACTAAAAGTACAAAAATTAGCTGGGCGTGGTGGCATGCGCCTGTAATCCCAGCTACTCAGGAGGCTGAGGGAGGAGAATTGCTTGAATACAGGAGGAGGAGGTTGCAGTGAGCCGAGATCATGCCACTACACTCCAGCCTGAGCGACAGAGTGAGACTCTGTCTCAAAACAAACAACCCCCCCAAAACAACAACAACCAAAAAACAAATTCCTGAGACTGGGTAATTTAAATTGGCTCAGGGTTCTGAAAGCTTTACAGGAAGCATGATACTGACATCTGCGTGGTTTCTGGGGAGGCCTCAGGAAACTTAGAATCATAACAGAAGGCTAAGGGGGAGCATGCACATCACATGGCCAGAGCAGGAGCAAGGTAGGAGGAGGTGTCACACACTTTTAAACCAGATCTCACTATTGCAAGAGCAGCAACAAGGGGATGATGCTAAACCATTTATGAGACATACACTCCCATGACCCAGTCACCTCTCACCCAGTCATCTCCAATAATGGGGATTACAAGTCACCATAAGATTTGGGCAGGGACACATATCCAAACTGTATCAGCCCCCAAGCTGACTCAGAACTCAAGACATTTTAAACCAATTGCCACTTGATGGCTGTGCCAAGAATCAACTTCCATTCAACTGGCCAACCCTTCATGAGCAGCTAATTGAAATTAACTGAAAATATGGCTATCTGGGCTGATTCTTTAGTGGATTGATGAATTAACTTTGTGACCCCAACTGTTTCACTGACTTAATCTGAGCAACTATCTGAGCAACCTGGACTGAGGCACACTTGAGAATGGGAAGTGCCTAAATAAAGTCTGTTTAAATAACTTGAAGTCAAACCTGATGAAAGGGATACTTGAATTAATTAGACACAAGCACAATGTATTCAAGGCCATGAGTGAACATTGTATTATAGAGGAATGTAAACATGAAAACTAGCACCTTGAGCAGGTGGATATATGGCTCCTAATATTAGGTTGGTGCACCAGTAATTGCAGTTTTTGCCATTGAAAGTAATGGCAAAACCCACTATTACTTGTGCACCAACCTGATAATAGCATGGGAAGTTTCCTGATTACATGCATCAATTCAGACATATCAAAATGTTAAGAGGATAAAATCATGTTACATCTGAGAAATTTTTTTTTAACCTTTGAGATCAATATTTCAGTATTATAACAGCAGAAATAGAATATGAGGGAAAAGTTAAAAGAGTTGATGGAAAAGATGAAGGACAAAATTACCATTGTAGTGAAGTAAAAAGATACACCTTTTGAAGCAGAAAGGAAACAGAGGGCAATGATGTATGATCTGTAAGTAATGTGTAAAAAAATATAGTAAAGGTTGAACTTCTGAGATATAAATCTCAGAAGCTTCAAGAAGAAACAGATTTGAGAATTAAAAATTATTACCACATGTAATCTCATTGAGAACAATTTTTTTTTTTTTTTTCCTGGCTCCAAAGATCCTTTACTGATATCCACTTGAAACACTTTGGTCCTTAATTTGTTAACTGAGTTGACAGGCTGATGGCTGATCTAGGTAAAGGTTTCATGGTAGCAAAAACACTTCCTGCCTATCATATATCAAAACAGGTTCCTGAATAATGTGTGTAAATGTTGTCAGGGTCTCTGTCCCATCTTCTTCAGAGTTCGATTAAGCTCCTCGAATTTGTGGCTCTGATGGATGAAGAAATCCCCATAGCACCTGGCGACCTTGGTGTCTGCGATGTGGATCATGTCATTATCAATGTAGAAGTTAACCTCTGAGGCTGACTAAATTCACCATCCAGGGTTGTGATGCCGCTGGTCCACACCAGGTTCTTCATCTTGTGTTTGAAGACAGGAAGCTGGATCCTGAACTCCTGCTCTGTGAGGTCCAGGAAGCCAGCCAGCTTGGCCACAGGCATGGTGATGTAAAGCTTGAGGAAGCTGGGGATGGTTGAAAGGTGGGCCTGCTGCTGTACTTCAGAAAACACCTTCAACTGCTGCAGGAAGGACTCTTTGTGGTAATTGGGGTGCACATTATCGTAGTTGGGCAATACAGGCGACAGGAACTTGGGGCAGGAGTAACTGAAAAGTTCTTCATAGACTTGTGGGTCACCTTTCTGCATGTGCAGCATCTTGTCCCCATATTTCTTCTGTAGCTGGGGGTGAATACTTTCATTGATACCTATGGGGTACATCGTGAGAGCAATGGCCAGTAGCGCATGCGTCTGCTCATTCTGCTTGTTAATCATCTCATACTTGTATGTGGTCCTCTGGAACATGCTCTTGGTCCTCTGGATCTAGAGGAGGATGTTGGCGAAGACCCAGATGGCATCCTGGTAGCGACACATCATCAAATATGCAAACCCAACATAATTGTTATGTGGTGACCTGGCACCCTGGCACACGGGAATACATACTCTTTTTGTCAAGTTTGATGGAGAACAAATCTTAAGCTTATTATTATTTTTTTTAATTTAGTTGGGTATTAATGTATTTTTAATATTATGGCTAATTTTAATAAGACCTTATAAACAAATCTAATCCCAATCAATCTTGACTGCAAAATAATTTCATAAACATTTTGATAACCTTTTATAATATTTTTATTTTATAACTCTTTATATCCATTTAATATTATTTATCTTTTAAATTTTTCTTTAAAACAACCCCTCAAAACTTCTAAACTAGGCAAAATTATGTTTCCCACCATGAAATTTCAGGGGTTTTTTCCTAAAAATTTCCAGATATAGGCCACTCTAATATTTGGTTTCAGATTTTGACATTTATACTCAGAAAACTTTGGTCTATAATTTCCCTTTCATGGAATGTCTCATATTGTATTTGGTATCAAGATTCTCTTCATCTGATGAAGGCAGTGTGGTTGTGTTTTTTCTGTACCTATTCTATGAAAGATTGGGTACAAAAGTGGTGTGGAGAAACACTACATTTTTCTAAAAATAGGAAAATATTTAAGACAAAAAGCTTGGTGGAAGAATCAAAAGTACAAATCAGTAATAATACTATAAAACATGCTCATAAATCCATAGACAAATTGGAGCGGGAGAAACAAAAAAATGAAGAAGACATTTTGAGTACAAGTGAATTGGCCTATTTGAAGAAACCACAATCAGAAGATGAAAGTGAACATGTCTCAGCAATAGTACACAAAATTCCCCATATTTGAGCACTCTTTGTATGACATTTTGAAATTGACAAATGCTGTCAAACTTGAATCTCGAAGCTCACAGAGTGATGATTAGAATGGAAGGCAAGATATGGTTCATCACATGATCACAGTGATAGGTCACTGTAGAATTTTCTAGTGAATACATGCCACATTATGGGGTCCAACTGCTGCTACTTTGACATGGGTAAATGGTCACTTAGATTATATGTTGCATTTCAAAAACTGAATCCCAGACCCACAGTATTATTCTCTGAGTATGAAATAAATGTTAAATGAGGAAAAAAGACCTGTCTCTCAAATATATTTGATAGTGAACATTTCAGAGTGAAGAGAGAAAAAGCTAACATGTTGAGAATAAAAGGAGTTCCATGCTTGAGTTGAAATGCCCTCCCCACCCATTTCTACTGTTCCTGAATCACTGGACATTTCTAGATTAAATAATTTAAAATTTGTTCCAGATTTAGTTTAAAAAGCATTATTATAAATTTAGTTTTAAAAAATAATTATATAAAACCTTCTTTTATCACTTATGTATAGTACCTGTTTTTCTCTCTATGCAATTAAGTTTATGTACTTATTTCTGAATCTCTGAATTTTTTGAGAGATCCTCTATTAATGTATACATAAAAGGCTGGCTATTCACTGAGACATTAAGAAAAATGAAGCACTATATATTCACCAGCCGGCTGTTTGAAAACACATAATTAATCCTTTTTTAAATGGAGACTTCTGATAACCCTAAATTCCAGGATTAAATATGTGTTGTGGCACATCAGTCAGCCTGATAACACACATTCTTATGATCTGGTCATGATAATTAGGAAAGGGAGGGGTATTGACAAGCCCTTTAAACACGCAGCAATGGAAAATTCTAAAATAAACATGACAGAGTTGTCATGTCTAAAACAAAGTAGATACCCTTTTAGATATGAAATGGCTCAGTACAAATTTCCATCATTGCTGATGCATTACAAGTTTCTAGAACTATTTTATCAAATGGCTCATTGATAAGATAAAAACTGCATTAATAATGGATGTTGCCATTTTTTCAGGGATTATTTAAGTGAGGGGGTAGTTGACAGAGTTTGGGAAGGAACGTGTAATATTTCCTCACTCTGAGTATAGAATTTTAATGGTTAATAACTAGATAGAAAAATGTGTGTGTGTGTGTGTGTGTGTGTTACCATCACAAACATACATATACACATGTCCAGTGACTCAGGAATTTCATCACTGCCTGTCTCATATGAAATTTAAGATTTAGTGGTGAAATGGAAGAAAAACTAGAAAACAGCGTTACATCTCTGAATGCTCAATTAGGGAGAAAATAATAAAGATTTGGGAACATATCAAGAAAATAGAACCATATGATTGAAGGAACAGCATTCAAAGAGCAGATCAGACTTTCATTTGGTTGAGCAAAATACTTTCCTTCCTGCTGCCACCTGAGTGTCCACAGTGAATGAAGAGTAAATGAATAAATGTAAGTAAAGCCTTTAAAAAGCTTCCTCACTGTGTCAGTGCTATATGATTGTTTAATTAACAAATCTGGAAAGATGTGCAGAAACTTTACCATTGTTACTTCCAGAAGCAGAACCTGATAGGCTGTGGAAGAGGGAAAGAAGGAAACCTAGATTTCAGTATATGTTATTTTGTACCTTTTGAATGTCCTACAAGTGTGTTATTCTTAGTGCTTTTACTGTGATTTTTTTTTTTTTTTTTTTAAGAACCACCAGCACCAAATAACGCATAAAACAACCACTTTATTTTGTTCATGGTTCACAGGGCTAGGAAGGCACAGAAAAGATGGGTTATTGCTGCTCATTGGTGTTTGGGGACTACAGAGAAGACTCATTGGCTGGAGTTGAATCCATAGCAAAGGGTTGGCATCATCTGGAAGTGACTTCACTCACATGTCTGCAGAGGACATGGGACTTTGGCTGCAGCGCCTATAGGAGACCTCCCAGGTACCCTGGGCTTCCAGGTAGCAGAACAGTCTTAGGACATTCAGATCTTTGACTTGGTGGTCAAGGGCACACAGGTGAGTGACCTGAGTGAACCAGGCCTTTTTAAACATAACTTTGAAAGTTACACAGCATCACTTTCATGTAATGTGTCAGTGACAAGTGAGCACTAGTGTCCAGTCTGGTAAGGGTGGGCATAGACCCCAAAATTTCAAGGAGAGAATAGCAAAAATATTGCAAACATCTTTAAAAAGCCACATGCATATTCTCGTTTAAAACTACTCAGGTTTTATCTCTCCTGGGCTTCCCACCACAGCTCTGGGGTGATCTTAGGGCTTATGTTTCCTCCCCAACTTGGAGGCAGAGGAGAAAGGGACCTTGGTAGTGGTTGTGGTCAAGGGTCTTTTGCTTATGTCCTGGGAGGTCCACCCAAGAGAGATGCAGGTCAGCAGTCACCCAGTCTCACTTCTAAGTGGGAGCTAAATGATGAGAACTCATGGACACAAAGGGGAACAGCAGACACTGGGCCTACATGAGGGTGGAGTGGGAGGAGGGAGAGGATCAGAAAAGATAACTATTGGGTACTAGGCTTAGTACCTGGGTGATGAAATAATCTGTACAGCAAACCCCTGTGATACGAGTTTAGCTACATAACAAACCTGTACATATCCCCCAAACCTAAAAGGTAAAAAAAAAAAAAGTTCCTAGTAGCAGAGATGCCTCTCAAACATATGATAAAAAATGTGTTACTTTATCACATAGGCCAGGAGTAAGGTAATTGTGGGGTTTACTTCTGCCTCAGTCCCTGTGAGTTGATTGACAAGTAAATGCAAACATTCAGGGAAACTTACTGAAGCGTTATGGGGCAATAAAAACTAATGTCTGCCTTAAATGTCGCTCTATCATGGAACCATTTAATTGACTCTGTTAAATTTTAAAATCACAAGATTTAGGCTGGGCACGGTGGCTCACGCCTGTAATCCCAGCACTTTGGAAGGCGGAGACAGGTAGATCACCTGAGGTCAGGATTTCAAGACCAGCCTGGCCAACATGGTGAAACCCCATCTCTATTAAAAATACAAAAATTAGCCGGGCGTGGTGGCAGGTGCCTCCAGCTACTCAGGAGGCTGAGGCAAGAGAATTGCTTGAACCCGGGAGGCAGAGGTTGCAGTGACCCAAGATTGCGCCATTGCATTCCAGCCTGGGCGACAAGAGCGAAACTCCATCTCAAACAAAGCAAAACAAAAACAAAAAACAAAACAAAACAACAACAACAAAAAACCAAGATTTAACTATTTGGAATGGAGAGGAGGCTTTATTTCTTATAGGGGGTTACAGCCTGCAACAGGCTGAGAAGAATGCCTCTGGCTAAGACCAGGGACAGGCACTTTGAAGGAAGATAGGTTGGGATGGGAGCATTATGCTGGACAAGTTAGCTAAACATACATCTTCAACAGGTTACAGGAGGAGCTATGAGTATGCATGAAGGTGGTCCTGATGCACGTATACTGAACCAATATGCATGTAACATATGACCCATGTTCACTCTGGGGTGGAGACCTAACATTTGAATGTATTATAATTAGGCCCTATCAGTCAAAAGGTCTTTTCAGGACATGAAGGCACTCAAGTGTGCAACCTCTGTAAACCCAGCCAGAACCAATTTATGGTGGGTGGCCTTCTTATCAGGAGAAAGTTACTGAAATCAGTCTCTTGTCTAATCAAAGCTGTAGTTATGGTGCTTGGGACAGGGATTGGCAGCCAATTAGTGTCTGGTGATGAGCTACAATTGTTTCCATTTTGCTTATCTCAAGGTCAGTGTTTATTTAGCTGCTAGAGAAAAAGGAAAAACCTTGTGGCAGTCAGACCATAGTTTACTCTTTAAGTTTAAGGTGCTTGACCTAACCCTTGCCTGACATGGCCTTAGGTCTTGTTTATAATTTGATATCTCATTGCCACGAAAGTCTGTTCTGCCAGTCTTACGATCTCTATTTTAACATTAATGCTGTCAGTTGCTGTGTCTAAATCACAAACATGAGAGGGTATAATGAGACATGTCTGACCTCCATCTCGTCATGGCCAGGAACTCAGTTGTAAGGTTTTTCTGGAGTCCCATTGGCTAAGGGGAGTGTCCTTCAGTTGGTGGGGGCTTAGGATTTTATTTTTAGTTTACAATTTCCACAAAGGGAAAGGCTGCTGATAATCCTTAAACATCCTGCATTTGTGTTTCAAAGCAATAAATCAGACCTCTTAAGTACTAGTGGAGTTGTATACAATTTGTACGGTGACCACTTTC